AGGACCTCGGAGTGTGACCCCAGTGGTGACTTTAGGAGCATACAGTCCCTACGAGGAAGTCTGGGCAGGTGCATATACCATATCACAAGTGTATTTTTCCCCTATTTACACAGAGTATTTTCACAACCACGATTATTTCATGGAGGATGTGCAGTGATGGAGTACAAACATTAATCTCAGATCTGCTTTGCATTTCTGTGCTCTTGTGCTGACATTCCTTTTCTCCCTGCCATGTGCAGTTCACTTTTCATCCCTAAGGCTGCCAGTCTGAAGGTTCCTCTAAATAAAGATACTCAGTGCATTATAGAAAAAATTCTCTTTACAAATATCAGCTTGTTTAGCAGTTTCTGGAACTCAGGGTTATTAAGAGCTTGCTGCTGAAACAATGATTGAGCATGAAGCTGCAGCTGGTGTAACAGGAGAGCCGTGCCATGTATTTTAACCTTTGCTGGAGGATTTGCCACATCTGTAAGCAGTAACTCAGCACAGACTTCTTCCCTGTGTGTTGTCATGGATGGAAACATATGACTTAAAATTGCAGATTGTCATTTGGAATTTCACATGAAAACTGCTCACAAGGACAGGCGCCCTGTGCATTCCCTTGTCCAAAACCACACAGAACAAATCGAAAATAATGTTAAAAGCACACAGGTCTTCCCCACTCTGACAGCTTCCCCTTCACACAAAGCTTGTCCAGCCCCAGCTTTGCAAATGTACATCCCTTCCTTTGCAGCCTTTGCTTGGCAGCAGTTTTTGTTGGCAGGATGCTGTTGCCAAGGGAGACAGAAAGGATGTGCAGCTGGCTTCTCTTTCACCTGCACTTAGTGCTGCTGATCCTATTTATGTTGCTGCAGAACCTCTGGCTTCTGAGAGACCTACTATCAATGTCACCGGACCTTCTGAAGAGTTTTGACAATGACACAAATAGCCAAGGCCTCTGATGAAAAGCTTAAAATAGGATCTTGCCAAAGAGAGGGTGTAGTTGATGTCATGGATGCTGACTCAAGCAAGGGTATCCATTTCACAACCAGCAATAAAAAGGGGGAAAAGAGGATTTAGAGCCATCTTAGCAATGGTTTCTGACAGCTTCCCAAAGCAGTGAGTAACCTCACTATGCCAAAGTTAGATGCCTGAGGTAGCTGTGGCTCTGGCAGGCAATTCACCTCATCATGAAGTATCTCTGAGCTGCCACAGGTTGACCTGCACCCTAGAGGTGCTCTCTCTTACTCTGATGAAAAGGAGTCCTATAGGAGATGATAAACCTTAACTGGATATCCACCTTCCAGATGATGAATGTTAGGTGAAATTAATCCCACCCCATGTCCCTCTATCTATTTAGATGGCATCGTCATGAAGCAAAAAGAGGATTTGTTCAGAAAAATAAAGGGATTAATAAAAGTGGTGTCTGAAAAGGTAAAACACAGTCTATGTATTGTGATACTTTCCAGCAGAGGAAGTCTTACCACTTTGGACATTCATAAACAGCTTCTTCTCTACACAGGACACAGCGTTAGAGAGCAGCACCTCATCGGCATGAAGTGTGGATGAGGGCAGGGGTTGGAGCCTTACTATGGTGATGCTTTAGGAAGCACTTTTTCCCATACTAGAGGGTAAATGGACAAGCCCTGTCCGTTTGAAGCATGCTGTCCATGATCTGTGCCTGACCCTGCATGCACAGTTGGTGCCTGCTGACCTGGAGAGCAGTGGTGGTGTGGCAGAGCTTCTTGGTGTGCACTCCTTTCCAAATCCTTGCAGTTTTAAGTAACCAAGTCACAGACTTCTGATTCCAGCACCAGGAGACATGTCTTTCCCCAAACTAATTTCTTCGGGGCTGATCCACCAGCTCTTACTAATTTACACCAACTTACCTATCAATCAAGAACATTCATTCTAGATTCAAGATAGTCCTTCATTACAGCACAGTCATTTTTAGCTTGTCTATCTGAAGGAAATGTGATTTATTACCAGGTTCTCCTTCTTTTTGTCCCTTTTCCCCATAACTTTGCTCCATGGCTGATTTCAAGTACTGTAACATGCTATATAAAATCTGGCAAGGAGGCAGAATAGAGAGCCCGACTTGTGGATCCCCATGCTCTGATGCTGCAAACATTTATTTCCCCACTTGCAAAAGCTGTGCTCCAGTTTTCTGGTTGGAGTTACAAAAACATTGATGCTGCAGCCAGACAGAATGTTACAGCTGTGCACAGCCTGTCTTCTACAACCCCTTAAGGTATTTCAGTCCTTTCATCTGTTCACGGAAAGTAATGTGGGTGATTTATTACTTATGCCCCCTTCAAACTCATTATTACCTCCAAGTGCCTGGTTATCCCTGGGTTCAATCTCAAATGAAAGCTTGTAATGAGGAGCCTTCACTGATTTGTTATGAGAACGTAACACACAATTAGAAAGCAACTTGGGCATAAACTATTACATTTATGGGCAAGAAATCTTCACTTTGATTTTTGACCATTGCTCAGTTTAAGGAAAAGGGACACTGTGCTTCAGAGACAGTAAATGACCTGCTAAGGGCTTGTGCTGTTACTCACTGTCTCTGTGAATGCCTTTACCTTTTGGGCAAGTGAGAACCAAACCAAGTCAGGATCAAGGAAGTCAGCATTTTCAGTATGGGAGAAGGCTTCTAGCTTTGGGGAAAAAATGTGATTGTGACTAATTCCCAGGGCTGACTATGGATGTGAGATTACACTTAAAGCAGCCAGAAAGGCTGCAATGTGAGAGCCTTGCTATCTGCTGAGTTCTAAGGGGCTGGGAAAGCCTCTGGAGTGGGTGAATGTAAGGCTGCTAGAGAAAAAGTGAGTTGTGATGCTCAGTGCTGTCTAAACCCTGACAGTGGCCGGGCTGTACGTAGTGTAAGGATGTACCCAGAGAAAAGGGTGGGATCAAGTTCCATTCTTGAAAATATCAGCTGCTCACTGCAGGGATCAGGAAGGTCTGTTTTGTTCTATGAGGTGATTTGAAAGATTATACAGGTATTGAGATATGGATTTTTTCTGCCAACCTTTGAAGCTAGGTATTGGCTGGGAAGGAATGACGGTCCAAGGCGCTGCAGTAAATCATAGGTTCTTGTAAGTAAGGTCACAGCAGCTGCTGGATATAATTTCTGCTAACAAGAGCAGACTCTGCTGCTTGTATTTCGGTATCGTTGCTCCTGAATGAAATTCAATAGCTGGAGATATGCAGTATCATACACAAAGAACACCAGGGTGAGGAGGTGATACAGTTACTTGATTAGTCAGAGGATTAGTAATTCTACTAGAAATATGAATGACGTTGCAATAAGGACCTCACTTCAAAAAATATGCTCTGTCAACTCATTTCTGCAACTCATACTCCCTGTTCAGCACAAATGCTGTTACACAATGCAGAGCAATGTTTCAGCCTTCCATGTGGATGGCACTTTTTACATGCACGCTGGCCATTTTAAAGAATTCCACTACCAATATCTGTGTATTGCTTCTGTATGTTATTTTGAGCATGCTTTGGTCTTGCCTTTCCATCTGCACACACTGCATGTCCAAAACACCTTTTGCAGTCAGTGAAGGTTACAAAGACTTTACAAATCAGAGACAAGTAAAATCACTGATTTTCAAGTGATTTTCTGTTCTTACAGGGGTACTTGCATGAAGTGTGTACTGAAAATACATATGGATAAAATTTTAAACATGAAAACCTTTCCTTGAGCCCTTGTTTAAGTGTTCACAGTGGACTTGAGTCATTGGAGTTTCACCCTGCCTCACATGGGACAGGTGGTGCTGTCACATCTTTCTTTGAACCAACGACACAGAATCACTGTTGAGACAATACTACTAATAATCATAAGCTCTATAGTAGCATTATTCACACAGTACAAGTTACCTATTTTATTTGTCTCTTTCCTTCTTTCTGGCTAACCCTGCCTCTATATACAGAAAAGAATCTACTCCACCCACTCCTGAAATGCCATCAACTCTGCACCTGGTTTTATTTTGGAAGGAAATTGTATTGACAGCCCTAAACCTTCTGATTATTCACGCACCAGCCCTTGTGAAGAGATTACAGGCATCAGCTTTGCTGTCTCGTCCTGTCAGCACATGGCCATTTGGGGATTCTTTGGGAGCTCAGCCTGGCTGCTCATCCAGCCCTGACTCCTGTTTCCCTAACCTGTTGTGTTGTTGGTGACAGGATGCACCAACAACAATAAGGTGACACCTTATCTCACCTTCCCCTGTGATAACAGAGCTTTCTGGCCCCATCTTTTGAGGCATTCAAGGCCAGGCTGGATGGGGCCCTGGACAGCCTGATCCAGTGGGTGGCAGCCCTTTCCATAGGCTTCCCCTCTAACCCAAGTCATTCTGTGATTCTCTGATTCTGTGATTCTATGATTTTACATGGCTGCTTGGCTGCAGCCAGAGGCAGTGCACTATATGACATCCCAGTAGGAGTACAGAAATGCCATGCAATGAGAAGCTCCAATTTTGAGTGGTTTCAGTGTCTGCCTCAGCAGCAGCAGCTGGCCTCACTGCACTGTCCTTTGTCTGTACAACTGATGTGCTCCCAGGGGAGACTGGAGGTTTCCTGACACATCAGGAACAAATTTTAAACTCAACTATGTGTTGTGTCTTCCAAAAAGATGTAGGTGTAATTGTACCAAGTGATGCATTTGGAAAGACAAATTCATCCCTGCCATAGCTAATAACATGTTTCTGCTGCTTATCCCTCTCTGAAGCAGGCTTTCTTTTGGTCTGAACTTAATTTATTAATACACAAAACATAACCTTGAAGCTGGGGCACAGCAGAACTGTGACCAGTTGTGAACTTTATGTTGGAGCGTTGTGGATGAGCTACAATTAGACACTGCTCTGGGTTCTCTGCAGACACGTGCTGGAGGAGCAGAATGGCAGTCAGATGTTACAATCCCATGAAATGTAATGATAATGCTGACAGAAGTGTCTTGTCACACTTTGCACTTACTACATTTTCCCTTTTCTCCCTCTTGTTTTAAGCATCCCCAGCTGTCACTGCACTGGAGCAGTACAATGATTCCTGGAGTAAAGGGAAACACAGGGAAGAGATCCTGTTTGGAGCCAGGGCGCTCAGCGTGGCATATCTGCATGGAAGCTGCAGGAGGACATCAGTCTTTGCATTAACATTAACTACCATGGCTAAGAGAATATATTAGCAACAGCTTCACTAAAGGTCAGGACACAGAGAAGGAATATCAAGAAGCATTGTACAGAGGACATAATTTTAAAGTAAAGTGCTGAGTTTCAGCCCCATTCGATCCGAGTTGAAAGGACTAGATGGAAATAAATAAAGGCAGGCGTGCTTGAGGGACCAATTAGAGGGCCATCGATAGCAGTGTCAGGAAACCCCTGTGGGAAAAATGGTGGCTTCTGCTACAGTGGTGTAAATCAGGACAACCACGCCATGAGTCACATTATTCAGCATGTAAATGACTCTGAGAGGAGAACACAGGAAAACTAAAGGAAACAGCAAAGATAAAATATGACTGGCAGCTGAAGACCAATGTCTCCAAAGGAGAAACAGGAAACTATAAAGACTAACAGCAATTAATAACTGGAATGTGCAGACAGAGGAGCAGAGGGGATCAGGTTTTGTTCTCTCCCAGCTACAGTGCTGGTGGCCACAGGCAGCAGTCCCAGCCATCCCAACCATTCCGACAGGAAGCCATCAGCACCACCACTATCTGGCTGCTTCACTGCTTCCTTCATGTGATTTGTTGGAAATCTATGTTTCAGTCAAGCAGAATATTTAAACAGGACTCCAGTACTTTTCATATCAAAAATACAGAAAGGAGTTGCTTGCTCCAGGAATGTTAAAAAACAAGTTATCACCTGGCTTGTATCAGAAACAGTGCAGCCAGCAGGAGCAGGGAGGTGATCGCCCCTCTGTACTCAGCTCTGGTGAGGCCACACCTCAAGTGCTGTGTTCAATTTGGGCCCCTCACTACAAGAAGGACATGGAGGCCCTGGAGCGTGTCCAGAGAAGGGCAACAAAGGTGTGAGTTCCAACACTTTGCTTCATATGTTCTTCCATGTCAGACACCATTCTGTCATACTGCTCCTCTGCTGCCATCTGTCACATGGCAACAACATGTAATGGAATACTGGTGGGAAGGTTTCAGCCCCTATTGCCATACCGCCAATACTGGCCTCTGATGTTGCAGAACAACATAATAAAATAGCAGACTTTACTTTCGGAGCAGCTCTTGTAAAATATATACAATACAGAGCAACAGAACCATAAAACTAGCAGGATGTTTGACCTCGTTTTTGTGAAACTGATGTGCCAGTCTGATTTGATGGCAATGGCTGCAATTGGTAGTGAGTTCTCAAGGTGCTCGTCACTTTGTATCAAGTTTTACTTTTCCTGCGCTTCATTCATGACAAGTTGCTCAGTAATGTGCATGCTGCCAAAAGAAATAACATGAATAAGGCGTGACTGTGAAGCGAGGGATATTTTTCTCTTTCAAGAGAGTCTTATAAAAGCCCAGTAAGGGGACATGATCCAATTTTGAGTTGGATAGCCAATTGCAACTCTATACATTCCACTTGAAAATGTGCAGGTAATGTTGACTGAAAATGGAGTCAAAACACAAAATGATCATTTTCTGGGCAACCTTGAAGCCTATTCTCACATTCCTGTATCAAAACAAAGAGCACAGCTGCGTATTTGTCACTGTTCACAGGACGGTGTTTAGCCAATGTACCACACTGCACACAATTATCTGCCATCAATTTACTTAGCTCCTGTGCTGTTACAGGTGTAGAGCACGCATTGTTGAAGGGATGTACCGCATGCAGATGCATTGCTCTGCCGTTCTGCTGGGCTTATTTACTGTATATTTATTCAAAGGTGTCCCTGCCGGGAGCTGTTCCTGCATTCTCATTCACTGTCAGTTACATTGCCAGAAACAAGGCAGCACCTACAGCAACGTTACTATTGCATTACAGCTATTTCCTTAAGATGACCTTGGGTCTGAGATATTTATCAGTGGGAAAATAAAACAAAAAGAGAGGAGGAAAAGAAGAGACATAGTAGCAGTTTGCAACGATTTGTGAAGGTGGTGTGATCCAAGCTTGCAAACTGCAGGCAAACACATCGTGCTTGCTAAGGCAGTATAAAGGATCTCTTCCTTAGAGCTCTGCGTCAAGTTATGCCTCTGCCTAAATTAATGCTCCCAATTAGTCCTGTTTTATTGTGCATCCATCACAGGAGGTTCACTGTTAGGGCTCTGAACAATACAGATCCATATACCAGTAATTATGAAAAAAATACATTTAGCAAGATGCAAATGTTTCATGTTTATCAGCAGCGCCTTGGGCCCTCTATCATTTTTTTTCTGAGATATTTTTAATTTCCTCAGTCAAATTAATCTTTGCTTTTAGTAAATAAGTGCATTCAAAAACTCTTTGCACTGAGTTCAAGCTTGACTCCTGGTTGTTTGGTTTTTTTTTTCAGCGTATCTGTAGAAAGAAGCTCTAGCTATACCATGCATGTGTCGAAGGCAGAGGCTGAGATTCCAAGCTACGTGGCACAGACATGTAGAGGAAAAAGGGAATCCAGACTTATTCCTTGAATCTGCATCATATTACCTAACTCACTCAGGGCTGCTTCCAAACTTTCTCTTTTTTATGTGTAAAATCTTTGGCGCGTGTTAAAAATGCATGTGGAATAGCTTAGAAAGGACTGAAGGGATGGTGCAAGGATTGAATGTACTTCAGGCACAGACCAAAATTACGGTTCCAGAATAAGCCTGTGGTTTTTAAGGGACAAATAACTGCCACAGTAATTATTTAATGGAGCTAAAACTTTCCAGGTTTGGAGTCGGTCCAGCTGTGATATATTTCCAGAAACAGGAGAAGGAGCAGTGCAAGACTCAGCCCTAATCTGAAGCAGAAGAAGTGTACATCATCTGTGTGCTCACTGGAGCACAGGAGCAGCTGAGCATAAAGAGCCTTTCTGCACGGAACAGCCGCTCTCTGCAGAGCATGATTGAAGGCCGTGTATGGTGACAGTAGTCCTTGGGAGCTATTTTTAAAATGATCTCCAGAAACAAAATAAATGTATATGTTTTTTAAAATGAAACATTACAAGGAATTGTTGGAAACCAAAACAAGTGATGCTAAGCTTTAACTTGAGCAAGGGCTTTCCTCTGGTTTCTTACTGCTCTACAGAATGGCTCCCTCCCTAAAACCCCTGTGATCCAAGAGGATTGTACATGCAGCACTGAACTGTCCTAACATCTCTGTCTCATCATCTATCCCAGACCTTGATGCCTGTGTGGACAGAGACATGGATGAAGGAGAAAGGGCGTTGCTGGAAAGCCATACTTCTGGGTTCTTGGAATGGCTGCAAGAAAGACGTGCCCAAGGAGAGACTGAGTCACGCTGGAGACAGCTGCTCTGCTTCATTTCTGCATGAAAGGGAAATGTTTTAAATCTCACTCCCTTGATGGGTCCAGAACAGTAATGGCCTGGGCAGGAAGAGGGTAGATCAAGCTTTGGGCTACACTCAACACACAAGTTTTTCCTACTTGCTGCCATGCAGCCCAAATAGCAGCCTGAGAGAAGAACCACCCTGAGATCCTAGCAGGGATGACACCAGCATGCTGCTACAGAAATTAGTCTTTAAAATCCTTCAAATTTTAATAAAGGTCAGTATCTTCTTCTACAACATGCTAACATTTGTCCTGTGTGACTCAACGTAGGCTTTTAACTCCACAATGCACTAGCTTTTCCACTAAAGACTGAAGTCAAGAGTCAATGGATCATTGCTCTCCAGTCACACAGGGATGAATGGGTGGATGGAAGAAGATCGTTTGCCTTTTCTTGCAGCATGATTTGTGGGATTTGATCTGACCCATCATTTTGGATTTCTGGCACAGGCAACCCAAATTTGGCCATCTCACATGCAACTGAGAGCAAAAGATCAGACCCTTAGCTCAATGAGTCGTTTGGCCCTATGAAATCCAAAAAGCACAGACAACATGGAGCCATCCTGGGGCTGGCTCTGTAGCTGGAAAGTTGCAAGGCCAAGAGCACTTCATTGTTGGATGATATTTTTACGACTCAAAGTCAGAAGTGCAGAGCAACCCCTTTGGAGCTCCAGCCTAACAGCTGCAGCACAGGTCATTAATGGGATCACGTCAAAACGTGCTCTGCCCTACTGTTGAGCTACCAGCCTTGAACAAACACACTGATTGCAAGGAGAAAGAGGAAAGGGAAGAGATAGGGGAAGGGAGAAGCTGAATAATATTTTTAGATGACAGGACAAAATAACCAATTGTAATCTCAATTTAAAAAAAAGAGTCACCCATTCATTGTCAGCAATGAATCTGATCAAACTCAACCTCCACAGAATAATTGATGCTGATGGGGATTACGCAAATGCCGTTCTTAACAAATGCCTGACGGTGTACATTTACATTTCTTTCAGTGAGGTGGATATGATTACGCTGAAGAGTCGTCTTGTCCAAAGAAGAAATCTGTGGATTGACAATCCATCCCTCCTGCGTACTCACAGGCACGGGCAGGTGACAGCAGCAGTTGTGGGGGAAAAAGGCTGGGCACATCTGTGTTATTTTTATTAGCATACACATTATATGTGATACTTTGATACTTCACTTTTGCTATTGATAAACAGACTGGAAAAAAAATGTTGTCTTTCATAGTTTAGATCCAAGCCCCTCTTCCAGTAAGCACATTAAGATCTTTCAACAGTCAAAAGTTAGAAAAAACTATTGATGCTGTCTGCACAAGAAAGACAGTCCCAAGAATCAGGTGGAGCACGCTGAGATGGTCTGAAATGTCCAAGCATTGCGCTCTCCTTTGGGACAGCAGATATAAATCCAGATTTGCAAGACTACTTGTTAAAACTGTAAAAGACCCCGGGCCAAACTGTCTCATAGGATGCAGCATGATCCAGACCTACAGCAAAATCTCATACTGAGTAAGCACGGTATACAGCTTATGAAGACAGAAGACATTTAAAAGGATGACTGCTCATTCAAAGTGAAGCCACAATCAGATTTACTTACCTCCAAACGTACCTCACAATGACTGAGGCTCGGCTCGGTCAAGTGCTCTGACCGGTTAACAAGAAGCAAAATAATCTGGAACAGAATGGATGAGACTCTACGTTGATGCACCAACCTGAGCTAAACCCTGCTGCTGGCTGAGCAGAGCACTGCTGCAAGGGATGGCAGAGAAGAGCTTTCCTAAGCTCACCTGATACAGCACACGACAATCCCAAAATGGGCAGGGACTGGAAAAATCCACTCTCTGTAAATATGCTACAGATAGAAGAAGTTTTAGCATGTCTATTCCTTTTAACCATTTGCAGCTTATCATCCCAGGATACAGGGGCAATTTACCGAAGGGCTCCTTTGGTGAAACTTTGTGGCATTTCATTTGAGGCCTCAGATTGACAGAAACAATGTTTCCCTAATGAAAACCCCATACCAAAGGCTGCCTCAAACCCACTCAATGGATGTATGTGACTGATCTCACAACATTTCTGTTTAATCAAATACAATCCATGCATGTGTTCTGCATTTCTAAAGAAAGGCAGACTTTCCCAGGTACATCTTTCTCCGTGTCACTAACATGTAATATCAAAGCCCCAAACTGACACATAAATGACAGCATTAACTCTTCAGTTACTGCTGACTGGAATGGGGAGGACCATTATAGAGATCTCTGCAGATAGCAGGTGGAAAGCATTGCTGTGGGGAAGGAAAGGAAGAAGGAAGGACAGAGGAGATGTTTTAGGACAGGGGGGAGGGAGAAAGATGGAGATAGGAATAGGCAGGGAAATAGAGAAAAATGAAATGGTAGAGCGTGTGTATTTTCTAACAGTAATATTGGATATGAGAAATAAATGGATACGGGGAATAAAGAACATTATCTGCAATTGTTGTATTTCTGATCATCGTGCTAGCCTCCCACTGATATGGCTGAGATACTTCCTCTGAGCTGAGTGCACATTATTTGTACTTCAACTCACAGATTGGCATCAGAGCACGAGTTGGGCCTTTCAGGCAGAATAAATCTGACATTCTTCCTTTCGATCTCTGTTTAGCATTTGAGGAAAAAAAACCAAACTTTTTCATAAATATGTACAGGATGTGCCAAGATGAATCTGCCTTCAGGATGGCATTTTGGTGGGACTGCACTGCTGCAATTCAAAGCAGAATTTGGCCTTCGACTCTAATTGCTCCCAACTCTAGAAGTACTGAATTGATTTTATTCAGACATGAACTGTTTTCTCCTTCATCACCGAGGTCTATAAAACAAGGCGAGTTCAAATTTCCTAGCGTCAGCTCTTCTTGAGTTATGAGGGCAGAGAAGCTGCAACCGGAACAAATAGGAGTAGCTGGTTTCTCTTCACGCCCACATATCATAAAAACAGCCAAGCTGATTTTGCTGAGAGTTCTCAAAAATATTCACCTATAGGCTGGAGTCAAGCCTGAGAAGTACCTTGCCCCACCTGAGGAATGTGCTTTGGGAAATCTGGTGCAGCTGAAAAATGGAGGGGAGCCTGGCAACAGAAACTGAGCTGAAGCTGTAATTGTGGTTTACTTTCACAGGACTAATAAACAATTCTCAATTCTTGGCCATAAATCAGCTTTGTAAGGATGCAACTTGTTCCTGAGTGGGCCTGTGGCTTTCTCCTTTCCTAGAAGAGACAGTTTTGCTCCGAGATCACATAATCATAGGCTGTTTGGGGTGATTTTAATCTGTTTCATATGTCTGGCAGACACAACTCTGCCGTGATGACCACTGGGAACATCTGCATGGCTTTACCCAGCTCCTCACTCCCCGCCAGCTTCAGCAGAAGCTGAAGCTGAACCTCTCTTTCAGGTTCAGCCTCGCAGCCAGAACCACACGAGCTGCTGCAAAGCCTGTCCTGTGGTTTTATCATCACCCAACACAATGATGGCTTTTACATCAAGACACGTCTTGATCCTATCACTCCTTCAGGCACTGCAGGGACACTGCAGTTGTTGTGACTTGCTAACCCACTCATTTTTCAAGAAACATTTGAGCCCACGCTCATCTTCTGCAACTTTGGAAAGAGCAAAATAGATTTATTAAAATTTGAGCCTGTGGAAGCAAAAGCCCAGGTCTGTCTGCTCATAATGGAGGATGCTGCTTCAAATAGGAATTCAAGCTTGGTGCCTAAAAATTGACCTCCTTTGTTGCACATGATGCACAGAATAGCAGCAAAGGACGTTTTGGTTCTAGATGTTCTTGTTTGGCTCAAAAATATTTGCACTTAAAAATGTTCTGAGCATCACGGCACGCACATCCTTAGCCAAAGGCACTGATTACAGAACACCATGTATGCTACCCTGCTTCATGTGTCACTCCCAGGACAGGGAGTCTCCAGCAGAGCGTGCAGCCACTGAAGATATCACATGGGGCCACCATGTGAAAACATGTCATTACTCAGTTGTCACGCTGTCAAACGCTGCAAGCACTCACTGCTCTAGTGAGCCATGAATGACTCGGTTTGATCCCGATCAAGCTCTTCTGGCAGACACAGGAATACCGAGGCAGAAGTGCCCATACCAAAGGATGCCGAGTTTTGGGGGCAATCAAGGGCAAGTACTGTGGGCAGAAGACAGCATTTCCTCAAGGACCCAGGTATGTGCCCTGCTGTTTTTGCTTCACGCTGCTGAGACAGAAAGCTGGCACAGTCCCCTGATGCTACAAGGAATCCCCACTGAGTTCATCCCCACACTAACACTCATAATGAGATGCAGGGGAGCAGGACCTGTCCTACGAGGCACCTGCCATGCACTGATATTGCAGAGATTACAGGAGCAGAGCTGAGAGCAGATTCTGACACACGGTCTTCTGTCTGATTTCAGAAGTTAATTGCAATAAGGAAGCACTCCTGTTTGGAAATGAGTTACAGGATATGCATATTTATGGGGCTGTGCTACCCCAGGTGCACACATGCAACTCCCATTTAGCTGACGTGGGAATGCTGAGAGGCAGAGAGACAAATTAGGAGGATGTTTACCACTCAGCAAAAATACAGCATTCTTATTTAAAAACAATATGACGATGCTATTTCTAAAGCATCTGCAACACAAGGTTTTGCTGTCCTTCACACCAAATGAGTTACGTTCAGGTGACAGGTGACCCTGTGCTTCTCCCTGGCTTCCCTTTGAGAGTGGGGTTTCATACAGACTCAGCTGGCTGGGGTCTGCATGTGGAGCAGCTCTCAGCAGACCTGGGGGTGCTCCTGCTGCTCACAGCAGCTCAGGAATGAATGATGCCTGTGGTGTAGGGAGCACTCATGTACTTGGGGCTAATTTATTTTATGGATCCACTTCCCAAACACATAGTTAATGAGTACAGGATCTATAAACTACAAAACTCAAGCATGCCCCGTTGTGTCAAACACCAAGTGACTGTGATGAGGTAGGACCTCACGTGGCAGCTTCTTTCTTCGTAAGGCAGCACAGAGCGGCATGCGAAGGAACAGGTGGGATTTGACATCAGAACAAAGAGACTTGAAAAGAAACACACCCAAGCCCATACGCCAGCCAAGCTGCCTTGCTTGCCCCTGCCTTCCTAGGAGCCACTGAATGAGCCTCCAGCAGATTCTGAGCAGATATTTGGAGGAGAGAAGCAGGCAGTTTGCAGCTCCCTGCAGATGCCGTCACACATGGCACAGCAGCAGCACAGGAGGGCCCAGCAGCATGGCAAACCACCCCTGTGTCCCTTGTGCTATTTCTGTTCCACTGAAGTGTAGAATACCCAGCTGACTGGCTCGTTGGTGGGACTTCTGGGATGCATATTCAAAAGGGGGAACATTTGCCTGCAGGTACAGAGAGGGGCAAATGGGGAGGGAGGGGGAAACAGTTGATTCACAGCAGTCACTGCAGAGCAGCAAACATTTGCATTAATTTTGCTCATCCCAACAGTACATTCATTATACCTTTCCATATACTGAATCCATAAGTGTGTATGTGCTGAGCCAGTGGACTGCCATAGCAAGCTGCAAATAATGAATGATGTATTACCTCTCTTATAATGGATTGGTTATTCCAGCTATACTTGCCTTGATGCGATGAAATAAATGACAGCAATTTTGCTAATACATGGATTTTCTGCTCTCCCCCTCCTTTCCAACAGGGCAGAAAGGTGTCCTTTAGCATTTAAAGCCATGCAGGAACACAATACTTATGATGGAAAGTGACTATAATGTGAGTATGCCATAACCGTAAGTAGCATCTGGTTAGAAAAGAAGCTGATATGAGGTATAAAGAAGATATTTTACACATGACAGAGGTAATAAATCTGCAGTTTGCTGGAGGATTTAGATCCAACTGGAGATAAATTCATTGTGGATGTTTTTAAAGTATGGTATAGCTCCATTAAGAAAGGACTCAGAGTTGGAAGTGTTCCTGGTTCAACTGGTGATATCACAGCTGTGTCACAGATGGATGCCAGCAATCAGTTTGCTGGTTCAGATGGGAAGTGCATTGCATGAGCAGTGTTGCTACATCCTCCATTAAAATGCAGACCCTGATTCAGTGGCAAAGAATGACAGAACCATGGCTGACTGCAGAGTGGTCCCTCAATGTCAGTGGGAAATGCAGAGGAAAGATACTATGGTGACATCTTCATAACAAGATTATTGCAGGAAGGAAACTGCCATGCAGAAGGAAGACAAGGACCACGCAATGACTGGGAATGCTGGTGAATATCTAGGATGACTCTGAGTTCAATAAGATTCAGATTTCTTTAAGCTGCAGAGACTCAGAGTCTGATCCTCAGGCCACCAGCATCTGTGGAAGGTTCTCCAGCAATCTAAAGCCTTAACTTAGGTCTCATTTTATACCTGTGCCCTGTTCTGTCTCTGCAGAACAGCAGTGGCTCAGACTGCCCTAATCCTTGTCAAAGGGACTAAACTTGCCCAGAAGTCAGCAGCCCCAAGTTACAAGGGTTCAGTAGAGCTGGATGCTGAGCCAGATGCTAACTGCTGCCTGCAGCCAGCTGCACTTCCTCCAGCTGCTGCAGCTCTCATCTTCTCTCAGAGCAGCAGCACCAGCCCTGGTGAGATGACAGCTCCTCCTGCTTTCACTTGGTTACTCATTTTCTAGCTCTCCCAATGCTTACTGGGGTTCTCAGTCCTCAGAGTGTATCAGTCCCAGCTGACAGCATCCCACAGTGAAGGTAATCACTCCTGATGCTTATTGTAATCACCAGTATTACTGTTTTTGGCTACAGATATTTTTCCCCAATGAATGCTGACTTGCCTCTTTCCCTTCTGCCACTTTGCTTAAGTCACACGTGCCCTCAGAGGAAAACGTGGCAGCATCATGAACAGGAGCAGAGAGCTCTGTCATAAGGAGAGCTGGGATGCAACGTGATTATCATGTTAACCGCTTCACTGCCCTTTGGATGCTTGGCTCACATTCAGCAAAGTGACATCAATACGGTGCTCAAGGCAAGTGCTGCTAGGCATCACATTCAACTAAAATGTCAAGAGGAGCCCTGGAGGCTGTGGGGACCCTTGTGGGATGTGGGGCTGGTCAGCAAAGTGCTGCAGAAAGTACTGGGAGAGCTGAGAATTGCCTGGGAGGAGCACTGTGCCAGCCAGGTGCACACTCGCTCAGTGACACATGCAGCACATTGCATGGGGATAACATCGTGTGATCTAAAAGAGGGGAGACTGAGATTGGATATAAAGAAGAACTTTATTATAAAGGCGGTGATGCACTGGCACAGGTTGCCCAGAGAGGTGGTGGATGCCCCATCCCTGGAGACATCCAAGGTCAGGCTGGATGGGGCTATGAGCACCTGATATAGCTGTAAGTATCCCTGTTCATTGCAGGGGAGTGGGACTAGGTGACCTTTTAAGGGTCCCTTCCAACTCAAGTGATTTTACAATTCTATGATTCTGGGATGATCTCTGGGAGGCAACCAAACTAAAGGATACATTAACAACTCTATACAGCAAACATTAGGTAAAGCCAAAATATTAAATGCACTTTTGGCCTTGCCTTACTATTAGCCTTTTAGAGTAGACTAGATATTTAGACTAGATATTTAGATATAGACTAGATATTAGAAATAAATTCTTTACTGTGAGGATTGTGAGACGCTGGAGCAGATTGCCCAGTGAGGCTGTGAATTCCTCCTGTGCAGAGGCATTCAAAGCCAAGCTGAATGGGACTTTGAGCAACCTGGTCTAGTAGGAGGTCTAGTGGGTATAGAGGCTTATAGCAGGGGAGTTGGAACTAGATGGTCTTAAAGGTCCCTTCCAACCCAAACCGTTTTATGATTCTATGATTCCCTTCTCCTGTCTTCAGCTTGGTAAATGAATTTTGATTTGTACCTTGAAGGCCAGTTCAAACACTGATGAAACTGTGCCTTCTGTCTGCTAGCAACCAAGAGGCATGGATGGAACCCCCTATTCCAGTACTACCTGTGAGTTGTACCCATATCCCATGTTGGACCTCAGCTACAGCAGGGCCAGGGCTTTGCTGGAAATGGCTTCTTCAGGCCTGACTGCAGTAGAGCCATAGCCAGAATCTTGCCCCTTTGGCAAATAAAGGTTCATTTCCTACACAGTCTATCTTTTGTCTACTCCTTAATCCATCAGTGAAGTTACAAAGTCCAATTTCCATGGCAACAGACTGTGAGGTCAGGGAGAAAGTATTATGCAGGATCGAGGATCTGAAGTGGATGTAAGGAAGGAAAGGATAAAATTACTTTAAAAATTAACAGTCATAGCAAAGTGAATAATGAGGGGGGAAAAAAAGACAGGTTAGATAATCTGCTCCTGGTGGGAAGATTCCTGGCATTTTTCAAGACAGCTGGTGCCAGCAAAACAGACCTTTGCAGAATCCCAGTTTGAGTTTTCGCTCCCTTTGAAGTCAACCACAACTCCAATGGGGAGAAGATGTGAGTATCAAGTACTGCAGAGGAATTCCCAACAATCAGGAACATTTCTCAGCACCTGCTTTGCTGAGCAGGGATGCAACATGCAATGTTGGCCCCAGCCTTCAGTGAAAGAAACCCATTGCCTCCAATCACAGATTGTAGCACAGGGAGATTTCAGACATTTTTATTTCCAGAGAATGTGTCAATGTTTTTCCCTTGAATATCTGCTCACAACAATTGGGACCACAGCCTGCAGCTGTATCTAATTAGCAATTAGTTGTTCACACCTAGCACAGCCCTAAAGCTGGCACCCACATGGGTGCTGCCAGGAGTCCTGTACAACAACTAAGGAGAGAGGTAGGAATAGGCCTTTTTCTTGACAACATTCCCATTCGTTTGCCGAAGCCTGGGGCTGGACAAATTGTCACACAATTTCTTATTTTTCTGCAAGAAAGCTGGTAGTTCTCTCACATTTTAATAGGGTCTCCTGCTGTGCCGGGGACACAAAGCAGGAGCAGCTCCATGTGATTCCCTCACTGTGCCATCACATCTGTCATGCTGTGGCATCTCCAAGGGGCTGCAGCCCCTGCACACCATGACACCTACTGCATTTCCACCTTTGTTACCACCTTCCCCTTCTAGGGGATGATCCAGTACCTACAGTTCTCTGGAGACATGTAATTAAGCGTGTCGCCCCTCACCAGATGAAAGCTGCCAATTCATTATGCTAAGGGCTTGCTGCTTGTACCCCAGGATGTGTATTTCCCCCCAGTAAGTCTGCCTTCCTGCTTGCTCAGCAGATGCTGCACATCAGAGACTGAAGCTTGGGGGTCTCTGCTTGCCCCCCAGAGGAGCTTTCTCTGTTGCTCAGGCAAAAAGGGAAGGCAGGTAGTGTCAGTCCTGAAAGCATGCTGGTGCTGCGAGGCGAGGGGGGAGCAGACACGAGGAAAATCCTCCATCTAGGATTTATAATTGTGACTCAAAGTATTGCTTTTTCCACTGCTTGATCTGAGAGCATATTTGAGTTGATCTGAATATCAAAGACATTCAGAAAGGCGGGGAAATAAAAAAGCAGGGGAGGAGGCACCAAGATGGTAGTGCAGATAGCCCGGGTTAAGGATGAATAGAGGGGACATGCCTGGCCAGGGGTACAGCTGCTTAGAGATGGTTATTTTTTCCTGCTTTATTTTCTCTAGTAAACATCTTATGGTCTATTCATAGGCTACACGTACTGTTTTCGATGACAATGTTTCCTGATGTGGGGTGACACTGCAGCTATATGATACAGCTTTGCCCTGAAGTACTATGCAGTAATATCTGCTGTAAGGTAGTTCCTCCAAACTGAACAAACTCCAAACAGAACAAATCCAGAGCTTGACTTGGCTCCCATGGATGCACGCTTACCACACCGAGCCAGATAAAAGGATAGACAAAACCTGTGGGATGAAATGACACTCTACAAGCCTGAAAAGAGGAATGTATGTGCATGGTGGGACACAGCAGAGCTGCTGTGGTGTTTCTCATCCTCTTCACAGTGCATGGCTGTAGGAAGGTGAATGTGCTCAGGTCCATAATACACAGGAGACAGTATGTTCATAGCTGCCCTGTAGAAGGAACATACAGGAGTGCTAATCGTGCCATTTGGCCTGACAGACCAGATCATCACTTCTTTTATTGGTATTTCCCTCTTCCAGCAAAATACTCCTCCTCTACAATGCCAGGAGAGCCTGGGAGGTATTAGGAGAGAGAATGCCAACTCCACAGCATGTTCCCCATCACTGGCTCTACATAAATCCTTCACTGGGTCACATACATGAATAAAAACCACAGCCTGCTTTTATTATCCAAGGTCCATCAGTAACAGACGACAGTGTTGTCACCAACAGGATGGCTGGATTGCCAATGGCTCAAAGGGAAATGCAGCTATAAAATCTTATTCATATATATTGTATCTGTGTGTATAAATATCTATGTGCACCCTGATGTGTATGTGCATACAGATATGTATGCATATATAAACAGAAACCTACAATTACTATTTTCACACTCACAGGTTCTTAGAATGCTCCTATGATGTCATTAGCATCATTATTTTATTAATTCTATTTTCCTGCTGTCTTGAATTTAAACATAGCACATACGGTACTGAAATGTACCATAATCAGTCTTCCTTTAATTCTGAGCTACGATTCCTCGCACTTTTCCCCATATGTTGTTTTGTGGGTTAGCTCTGGTGTGACTTCCTTCCCTTCCTTATTGGTATCGAAATATTCTCGCTTCTGACTCTTTCATTGCTCCTATTGATTTCACACATTTCCTTCACATGATCACGGGTACTGTTTTCATGATTTGCACATTTTCACCCATCTATAAATTGGCTCTCATACAAGTCAGTCAAAATCACATTCTGATTAAAAAAAAGACATTAACAAAGTCTTTTTTTTTTCCTTCTATCCAGCTTTCAGATCAGTTTTGCAATGACTTAACAAAATCTTGACTTGTTTACCTGTAGTTTCCAGGTTGGATTATAGTTGCATTTGGGGTTCTCTTTTTAGGATCTACTCCAAGCTTGGCAGCTCCTTAAAAGTTGTGTGCTCTTCTCACAACTTGTCATCTTCCATCTTTATTCTGGCATTGCAGTTGGCTACCTTTGGAGGCTTAAAATTAGCATGTTATTATTGTTTCTGAAGACCCTTTAGACTTTGACTCCTACCTATTGGAGAAATTTTGATTTCTGTTTATGTACTTGCTCATAATTTGGGTTCTGTTTCCAATCTGTCACTTGCTAAACCATCTGTGCCATCTGGAATGTGCCTGGCCCCAATTTGGGGGGATTCTCTTCCTTATGAAATTCATGAGATTCAGCCTGCAGATGCTTTCACTGCTTCTCTGACAAATTTAGTTAATTTGGCAGCTTTGAGGTTTGCATTTTTCTCAGTTTGTAGGGCTGTATTTGTTACTATGCTATAGGTGCTGGGGGTCTATGGAACACGTATACACTAGAAACCGTCAAGTATCAACAGCTTTGACATAAAAGTTAACACAAAGATTTGGCTAGTCAAGATCCTTATGAGCCATTTTTTCTCTTGTGTGCCATAAAACCAAGGGAACTTGAGAGTGCAGGTATAACATAAATGAAATTCACAGCTGAACAGAAGGTCATCATCAAGTTTACGTTTCATATCAAGTAGCACTGCTGACACAGCATCCTGGAAGAGCTGGAATTGCCAATACTCTGCCTCAAATATTCCAGAGAGTTGAAATCATAACTTACCTATCAGCAAATTAAACCCTGAAAGGTTTTATAGATAAAGAACCGTTGCTGCTGAGTAACAAAAATATACTGGAGATCTAGGGATTTGACTTTGATGCTTTTCAACCAACTTGGTGAATCCAGTAGGTTGATGAAGGCTAATGAATCTGGCCAGGCTTTTGGTGGATTACCTGAATGACTCCATGTTAATCAAAATATATTGCACCAACTGTGGGTAAAATGGAAGTAAACAGAGCATTTGTGCTTCTAAATCTGGCGTTAGAGAGGTTACTCACTTATCAACATCTAGGCTGAAAGATCTTACAGCAACTTACTCTTTTTTTTCTATTATTTGATGTCTCAACTCTTTTCTGGTCACATTCAGCTCCTATAAATGAATGCACTGGTGTACAATGATAGAAAACTTGGTCCAAAGAGTACAGTGGTAACGTAAGACAAATATCTTTCTATTAGATTTCACTGAAAGCAAAAGGAATTTTTCCATTCAATTTCCCCCACTCTCCCAGACAGAAATTATCGAATGTGAACATGTGAAGTTAAGTATGTGAACATATATTCTAGCACCTTACAGAAGTCAGCCCACTGTCAGAAAGGTAATCCCATCCAGTTGAAGGGATTTGAAGAAAATGAAGAAACCCAGGTAATGAAAAAACTGAAACCAAAAGGCACATAAAAGGCACAGAATCACAGAATCCTTAAGAGTTGGAAGGGACCTTTAAGGGTCATCTAGTCCAACTCCCCTGCAATTAACAGAGACAGAGCAAACACAGAAGGGGAAAATAAACAGGCATGGATGGCTGTGTTTTCTTCTCCTGCACAGGGAGTCTTGGAGCTGTATTTTGCATTATTAACAGCAAGCTAACTGCCACAGCTTGAAGCTCCCACTGAGATGGGTGAACCTGACACCAATCCGTGGATGTATGCTGTATTTATATATCATTGCCACCCCCTTCAGATGTCTTAGCTGTTCTGGTGATTACAGTTGTGTTCAGTAACACTAAAGCACACAAAGAAGCCATCTGAAGTTAAAAGGTTCTATCTGAATTTATATTTGTTGATTTCATTAATGCTAAAGTCTCCTTTGGAAGATGCAAAGTTCTGTGGCTTGAGTTGATGCCAACGGGAAACATCCCAGCAGGAAGACTGATGTGTGCTTCATCAGGATGCTGGAAGGAGTCTGTCTGCTGGCCAAAATCTCTCTCCTACTGTTTATAAAACACTATCTCACTCAGCTAGCCCCCTTTTTACAGTTCATTACTGCACAGTCTTTTAAAAGAGTTGGCTGCTATTCAACCTCATGGATTCAGAGTTGCAGAAAAGCACCTTTCAGGGCATCTAAGCGTCCCTCCAACCTCCTTGCTACTCAAAGAACTAGGTAATATTTCACTAGGTCTTGTGCTTAGACATGCCCTGTTCTTTTCTCCCCCGATAATCCCAAGTGAAAAGAAAATCCATCGATCCTGTGTACCACAAGTAATTAGAACTGGGGCTGCATATCATTCCAGTGAGTAGCATGGGTCAGGATTTTAAACATGAAATGATTTTCAGTGGATTCAGCACTCTGTCTCAGCACAATGCAGCCTATAAATTGAAAATGCCTTTAAAAGATGGAGTTTTTATTCTTCATTGTCTTCAATTAATGCTACTATAATTTAGAAACCAAGCTGATATTTTTTGTTTGTTGGAAGCCAGAATTACATCGAGAGATATCACCATTGTATGTGCAATTACTTTTAATTCTCCTAACAATTTTTACGATTCCTTTCAAATAATTTGTCCCTCTTGTGTATTCATATTTTCACTTTTCATTGCAGGCATTTAATTTTTATTACCACAAGAAAGCATTCTGAAACCCTTTTATGATGAGTTTGTTTAATTTATCTAGTCATTAGCCTGTGATGAAAGTGATGCCTCCAACAAATCAGTCAAAAACCTTGTACTGGCAATATATACAGATCTGTTGTGAGGGGCTAATCTTTTATTAGATTACAGTTACTCTAAAAGCTGGTATTCAGTAGTTTAATAGCTTTTCTTAATTCTAATCTTCTGCACTCTAAGAAATAGCTAGAAGTAGAAGGTCTTTGAGCTTTAATGCAGTTGCATGGTTTTCTTTGGTAATTATTTACATTTTTATAAATTAAAAATTCTTTTTTTTTTTTTCCCTTTCCAGACAACTTCATCAACATTTGAATAAAACATTTAGGAGTAATTGAGAGATACAAACTGTTTCTTGTCCTTACAAGATGGAAATGTCAGAGCATGTACTTCTCTTGGCAATGAGCAATGGTTTTGGGCTTGGAGGTCTCTGGTTGGGACCAAGATTGGCCAAACCAAAATCGTTTGCTGGGGTCTGTTAGGAGTGTGCTTAAAGCTTTTGTGGCTTTGGTACAGTTGTTACCATAGTAAACGTTTTTGCTTACTGACATGATTACAAATTTTGATTAACAGTTTCATGTACAGCAGGAGGAACCTGAAATGAAACCAGCTTTGTAACTGTGGGAACCACACTAAAGAAAACCGAGGAAAACAGATGATATTTTCACGTAATTGGAATATGCTAAGGAGTGAAGAAATTGCTGATTCCTGAGGAATTTGCCAATTTTCTTTTCAAGCCTCTTTCTAACGCACTTACAAACGCATAAATTGTTCTAATGCTCTTTCGGTCATAAAAAGCGAATCTGTAGGGGAAGAACTGTTTTTCCTTGTCAAGTTGGGCACCCTGCCTCGTTACAGAAATGAAGACAGTCTGCTTCCTTCTCACCATGCCACCGTGATCAAAGGAGCAGGATGCGAAAAATTTCCTCGCTGGAACATGCTGTTATTCAAAGCCCTTTGTAGGCACCTCACTGCAAAACACAAGTGTCTGGTACAAGATTAAAAAAGGCGTGCATGTACTTATTTATTCAGGATGGCATTTTGCATTCCAAAAAGAAACATACGTATGTATCTGCACATGTGTGTCTGTGTATGCGGTCTCTAAAACTCAATCTGTGGGGCCTTCTCCTTCCCCCGGGGCCAAAGCTGAGCCCTGATGAGGACCTGTGCTGGCTGTGCTGGCTGCTGGCAGGGCTCTGCCATCCCTCCTCTGTCACCAGGCAACGCTATCAGCCATGCTGCACGTGTGCGCTGGACATTCATCACCACTTTGTATTTCCAGTTCTGCATTTTACTTTAGAAATGGAAGGTGTTCTTGAGTGAACAAGGTTTTCATTGGATGTCAGTATGCATTACCCAGCCTGCACACTCCAGCCCTGCTCCAGCCTCACTGGATACGCATCAGCCATTGGTGGCAGTGCAATTAAACTCTGACTCCCCCAGATGTGTGGGGGGAAGTGTGCAATGTCACCTGAACTGGGGACTTCACTATATGAATATGCTGCCATCCAGTAAGCTGCAGTGAGACCCTAGCTGGTTTCGACGTCAGGATTTGGATGTGTGAAGAGGCAGGGTTGTTATAAGATAACTCGGTGCATGACACGGCCAGCACGTGGTGATCCATCTGCAGGGATGGACACGTCGGAACAGATTTGAAAATGTTCCAGGAGGCACAAGACATGACTTCAGAAAGGGAGAATTATCTATCATTACCCTGCCTATGGCTTCACTTTATTACACAATACTTCCAGTCTCCTACAAGAATCTCCAAGAAAGAATGTAGGGTATATGGCTCTTCTAATCCTCATAAATCTGGAATTAACCCAATTACAGAGAAGGGCCGTCATTAAAAAGGAGTGACTGTGCAACCACCTTTTCAACGTCACTGTCACTACACTGACAATTTAATTAAAACTGCAGTGCATTTAGTTATATTAGTTCCTATCAATACAAAAGATACAGATATTTTTTTTATTTAAATCTCACAATGTACTTCAGCACTGCTATGCAGAGATTACACCAACAGATTTTATCATTCCTGACGATACATGACTATCTCAAAATAAAATCCTCATCTTCACACGAGATTTTCGTGCCAGAATGTAAATGGAAATGACTAGGAACAATCACCTTAACCACAGAAACATGACTCTGAGTGTATGAAGATCGTGTTCTTTATATCATACTCAACACTTCTGTCTTGTACACCTCTGGCTGGTGAAGGGAAAGAAAAGAGAGAAGAAAAAAAGGAAGAAGGAAAGGAAAGAGGAAAAAGAAAACAGAATGTGAGGGAATTACAAGGTAAGCAAGTGAGAGATTAATTTTAAATTGATTGTACTTTTTTTTTTTTTTCTGGTCAGCAGAACTCCACTGTGATTCTGGTCTCGCACACTCAGGTGTAAAGCTGGAGCAGCTGCCTTGATTCCTGTGGAGGTAGGAGGTACAAATGCACATCCAGTGAAAGCTGGTAGAGCTTTCCTTCAAGACTGAAAGTTCTCCTAAGTTTTTCAGTGATTGCTGACATCTTCTGTGGCTTTCTTCAAACATAGGAGAAGTGCAGAAAAAAATCGTCTCTGAAGTCAAGGAGATAGAAGCACACTGAAGGGGCAAAGGTTGTCTTTGACCTCCAGCTCTTTTCTGATGTACTAGTCTCTCTGAAATGTGAAATTCAGATTTGACCTCTGTCTATTTTCCTGCCAAGCACCTGACTTGCAGTCCTTATCAGACAGAAGGAAACAGCAGAGTAAGACATTGAGTAGTTTGCATGAAATCAGTATAAAGAAACAGATAACGCTTCAAGTGTCAGCAGCGTTCAGTTTGCTGAAGCAAAACCCAGTTCTCCTGAACTGCCATCATGGCACCTAGAAAAGAACACATGCAACTTAAAAGCTGAACGATGCACAAAAAGCCAGTGTTGGCTGGGAGGAGGATCTGGGGCAGAAAGCTGACTAGAAGGTTAAGCTGTTATCTGCCAGCGTAACCAGTGCCTCGTGCTCTAAATGATTATTGCTGTGCATGTAGAGCATGGCTGGAGGGTCCTGGCCACTGCCACAAGCTGATGGATGCTGCTGCCTCAGACTACTACGAGTTGGACTCAATGATCCTTGTGGTCACCTTCCAACTCAGAATATTCTGATTCTATACTAGTGCTGCCTTTACTGCCAAAGGCAATGTGAAGATAAGGTGGATCTGGCACCACCAGAACAATGGCATCCAAAAAGCCCACCTGTAGACTCATGCCTGTATCTTGCCAGACACCTTAACTGGTGAAGAACAAGAGGTGAAGTTTGCTGAACAGGAAGCATCATAGGAAAGGGGAGGGTTAGCTGCAAAGATAATCACCTGGGAGATGAGTTCTGAGTTTTGCTTTATTTGCACATGAAATTCTCATCAAAATGAGTCTTTTTCTGCTGCTGCTTCTGCTGTATTTCACACTTTTTTTGCCTTTTTGGGAGCAGTGTGTGTCATCTCCCAACTGTTCTCCTCAATCTGCATGTCAGCTGCTTGCTAGCACACTGCAGGCTACCAATAAGCATAACTAGCAGCCAATGAGACAAGAGCATCTTTGAAGATTCAGATGCAGTGCTCCCCTTGGGATGACTTGCTATTCCAGATTAAAAGCCCTTTGTGAATCCAGGAAGGGACACTTCAAGCAGCCAAAATACTAGATGAGTATGTTCACCTCGTGATGCAAGAATATCAAAGTTGCTTAGCTTCTAGAGCCAGATGAACAGCACAGGCAGAATAATTTGATTCATGCACCCTCTCAGCGCATCATTCCTTCCTTCATCACCTGGATTTTCATTTAAATGCTGTCTGATTTACTCAACTGCACACATCATCTGCAAGGTCACCCATTTGTCTCACATTTGCAACTGAATGTCCCTTTCTAACCTTCCTCTCCCCAGTTCTCTCTCTGCTCCCCAGGTAAACAAGTGGAGCCCGAATCTGGTGGTGTTGGATGCAATTTGATCTCAGCAGGATATCTCACTGTGCTCGGTCACACTGACCTGTTGCAGATTGGTGTTTATTATATTCATTCACACTTAGGAAAGTAAGTAAACAAAGAAACTATTCCCCTCAGAATGTAACTCAACATCCCAAAACAATTATGAACTAATTATAAACTGATTCTGCATGTAGGACAATTGAATGTTTAGTGGAAGGACAATTACCACCCTGGAAATCACCACTCTGCATTTCTTATTAGCACCAGAAGCAAGATATCAGGCATGGTGAAGACATGCTGCTCTGCCAAAGACTGAGAAACACACTTGGCTGCAGAAAGCTTGTGCAAGGCTGAACCTCTCAAGAGCAGAGCTGGCAGCAGGGCTCCTACACAGTGTTGCTACAATGGCGCTGGGATTGGATCTGTTTCATGAAAAGGGGATGATCTTAATACAAAGTTATGCTGTGATGACTGCAGTCGGTGACAGAAAGCCGGATAAACCTCAAGATGCTCTGGCTTTGGAAAGAGCATTGATGAAACCTTCTGTCTGCAGGAAGATGGTTGGCTGCCCAGTGCGGATGGAGTGTGCTGATGAGTAGGAGTTGCAAGAGACTGCAGAGCAGCCAGCGTAAGCCAGCACTAACAGGAGCTCCATCTGCAATGGCTTAATCCTGAATGCCCAATCAGAAGTGCTCCTAGTCAGAATTTGGTAAATATTTGCTAAAAGATAAATGAGACCAGTTTTTAACTGTCTCTGCATTACTCTTTTTTCCTTTCCAATTTTGAAAAAGAGAGAAAGCAGCTAAGTTTTAGGTATCATGGAATATAAAAAAAAAAAATAATCTACTTGTGGGTTTTTTTTCTGAAGAGAAATGTCCCTCAGGCTTCTCTCTTGCTTCAAAACCTCAAGAAACTTTGATGTTTTCAGTTTTAAACAGGTTAGTACAAAATAATACTGACAAAATCAAAATTTTCAATGAAAAATGTGTTAAAAAAACCCCACCATTATGAAAAATATTATCTGAAAAATAGATCCTTGCTCAAAAAGAACAGATTCTGCCTGGACTTTCCATCATCCCATGCCTGGAGAGAACAAGAAATACTGCTTGAGTTTCTGGCCATGTAGAATAACCAGCTCTCCAAGAGCACTTATATGAGTATTTAGAGCTTCATTCAGACATAGTTGCACATAGTAGATGTGGTGAGTCACCCTGCTGTTCTACTCCAGAAGGAAGACCAGGGAACACTCAGGAGGGTGGCACAGCTGCAGGCATTCAGACCAATGCTGGTCAGAGCTCTCCTTGGCAGCACGACCGCACCTCTGAGCTAAATAGGTCTGCTTTTGCTTCGTCTCCTCCAAAGTTCATTAGCATTGCCCAGCCTTAGGAAGCAACATTCTTCCCTCTCTTTCACTGCAAGAAATCCCAAATCAGTGTCCAGAATAGCTCCTGGGGTCTCCAGTGAGGTTAAATCATGACATACAGATCACTGGTCACTATCACAACTGAACCCAGTAATGGCAATGAGCATAAAATAAGTCACCCTATATTAGCATTTTCTCTAGCTCAATGTAAGCTCCTCAGCCATCACCCCTTCTCCCACTGCTAATGCCCCTGCTTATGTTTTTGCCTTTTTCCCAGCATCTCCTCACTACACTCTGGTGGGTTTGGTAATCACATAAGTCACAGGGCGACTCTACTTCATGTTAACCAAAAGTCTTGGCAGTACAAGCTTTTTCGTGTAAAGCATTTTTTCTCCTTCCTGCTCTAATTCCTCAGGGCTGTGGAGGAGTGGTGTTCAGCGTGCTTGGTTAATTTTTATTAATGTGATCTCTCCCTTTCCCTGTACTGGTTACATGTGGGCGTGAAGTTGATCAGCAAAGGGAAAAGTAAAGTTACACATCATTTGTCTTCTCTTACATTTCCATTGATCAATCCATACAACGTTATCCGTTTTCCATTAATTTTCTATTTGTAGCACACCTTATTTCTAGAGCCACAGTTAGCAAATTGATTTGCTGCTCTTAAGCAGCAGTTTCCATTTGCAGCCTGAGAAGCGGGATTAACACAGTGCACTCACCGTTTTGTCTCTGTCAGTGATACCTCACACAAAACAATTTTTCTGTTCAGTATGTTTGCTGATTGAGTTTTCCTCCTGGAACGACAAGCGCCATGAGCACGCAGCCTACTCCTTGGGCTCGAGGCCAGGTCTCCAGTGTAGGCACAGATTACAGCTTTTTGCAGCAGCATTGATAGGGTGCGTAAAAATCTGAGGAAACCAAAACATCTCCATTCCAATTCACATAGTGGCGGGTACATTGTCTTCACTGCTGTCACCCCCACTCCTCTACCAGGTTTTAAACAAAACTTGCTCAGAAACTTTGGGTATCTGAAGTGTGTTTCAATGTATTAGAAGATAATCTGTCAATTCATCAGATTGTTCGGGCATAATGCACACAAATGATAGTCAGCATAAGAAACATTGCTGTTTTTCTATTAATGCTTTCACATAATGCTCTCTTCCCTCCTGAGAGTTGATTAAAATGTAATTTAAATTGCTCCTGTCTTAGAGCTTCGTTGTCTATTATCTTGAACGGAGTCAGAGGCTCCCTATTGTGAGGGTGTTTAACAGCAGAACATCAACTGATCTCACTTCTGGTTCATTGCAGCCAAATTCTCCATCTTTCTCATATGCCTGATCATGTTCATTACCAACAGACAACGAGCAAAGGTGATAGCATCCAAAAGAGACGAGCCAATAACCAACTGGCATTTTTGTTTTATTCAGCAAAAACCAGCACCAGCTACTGTTACCATCTTTTACAGTGGAATAACACTGCAACACAACAGAATGGGACCTATTGCTGCTGTTGCAATTCTTTTGCCCACATTAAATACATCTCAGTGGATGTATATTAACTTCAAACACGCTTTACTACAATACATCATTGCAAAATATTGTCTGAACTTTCTGACTCACTACATGCTGTTTAATCACTGGAAACTATCCTAAAAATGCACTAATGCTCTAAAAATGCTAAAATAACTGGTTTGAAAGGGAGGAGAATTTGCCACTTATTTAAATTTATATTTAAAGACTTCATTCTTTAATGAAAATAAGAAACATCTGGCAACTAAACACCTTCCTCAAGAAGGCTGTGAAGTAATACACTTTCTTGCTTATCTCAGTGCAAATTCCCCATCCAAGAGACAAAAACCGTTGCACCGAGCTCTCTCCTAATATACTAATAATTTAATATCAAAGTAGATCACAGCACCGCAGTAGATAAACTGCAGTAAACAAAACTTTGTAACAGAAATCAGCACGATTTTCAATACAGCTGCTTTCTTTCCCCCTTCATTCTGGTACAAAGCCAGAAATCTTTCTCCATTTTTCACGCTAGGTCTCAACACAGCACATTTCCACATCAATTTGGCACTGTAAATTAGCTAGGAAAAAGCAAATCCACAACCAGTCAACATCACAGCTGCACCAATGCTGATCTCCACGACTAGGGCATCCAGTTTTGGCCAGTGTTAGTGCTCCATAGAGCAACCACATGAAATCTCATCTCACTTCTAAGCGCTTTACACCCCTGCTGTGCTTGCACCACATCCATGCAGCATGAAAAATGATGTGAAATCTTACCAGCTCTGAGAAACGTAATGCTTGCGTTGTCAATCTGACTTAGGGCCTTGTATTTACGTTCCTTGGAAAATATCCCACAGATGTGGAACAAAGCTACCTCTATCTCAATCAATTAAGCAGTACCTGGGAAGATCCCCAGGTCACGGGTTGCAGTCATTCATATTTTCCAGAAGCAAAAGCATTTCCAGGTGTGGGGCTGGCACTGCTTCAGTAGGGCTGCCACAGCAGCATGGTAGGGATCAGCCACACTGCAGCTCGCACGTAGGCCCTGCTCTGGCAAAGGGAAACCACTGAGCCCAGGGGTGTCAGAGCCCCACAGCCCATTGCTCAGGATTGCTCCCAGGCATGTTTCGTTCACTAGCATACATACTGGCATACATAGTACGAAGTGCTCATGAGAGACTCAGAATAAGACTAAGACCAGATGGAACCACTTCCAGAGGTGCAATGTTAAATGAATGCTGAGTGGGAAGAGGGCTGGGAAAAACAAAGCCTGCCTGGGTGGTGGATTTCACACATGTTTACACTACTTGTGAACATGCAAAATAATTATTCTGCTTATTTATATCACCAAGAAAATCCTTGGTCAACTGGACACTGTTGTAATCTAAATACTATACCTTCAGATAGTTTTTCTGCACAACCAATATGCATTTCCTGATTAAAAAGGGATTCTTTCATCTATTCCCAGCAGCAGGATCAGATGGATACAACAAACATTTTGGAGAAGCCATGACCAAGCTCTAAGCCATTATTTATGAAAGAAGGCTTTCAGAGGAGAGAGGTAATCACACAGCCACGAGCAGCGACACAAACACGCATAAGGGTAGAGTTGTGTTTATGGCTGACAGAGCTAGTAGAAATTTGTTAAGTAGATTTAGTAGAAATATGCCATCAGACAAAGATAAATTATCTCACTTGGCGTAGTATTAACTCTGCATTGTTATTGCTTAAAACATAGAAAGATGAAAAAATTCCAAGATTGCTTCAAGGGAAGTTGAAAGAACTCTGTGTTTCACCACAATGAAAGGAGATTTTTTTCCTGTTCCTTCAGGACCCATTATGTAGCATTTCTATTTTAATCTCCCAATTTGAAACCATTTACTTTGAACTTCTATATTCTATATTCAAAGATGGATTTTATTCAATTATTTTAAGCATTTACCCAGTTAACCTAAGTGCATTTTCTATCACAGGCAAAAGGATTTGAAGAACTGTGTCAAGAGGGATCTTGAAAATGTCGTCATTTGGTTCTGCTGACCGAGACTCCTGAACTAATTACACCTGACAACAGGAGACTCAAAATCAGATAGAGCATGAAAACTGAGAAACAAGCAAATTAAGACAAACATGCATGAGCTAAATGGATAAGTTTTTCCCACTTGCTAGCAATTATGATTATAACACAAGCAGTATGGCTGTTGAATTATGCATCCGGTGTCGGTAAGAGCCACACATTCATTCATTAAGACTCCTGCCAACCTAATTCCCAAGAAAAAGTTTTTATCTTCACTTTGACTTGCATGAATCTGTAGCAATTCTTACAACAGCAGTGTTTTTTGGTTTGGAACTCTAAGGGGCTTAATGTGGCTGCAAAGCTGAAATGGTGACCTTTTAGCAACACCTATCTAAATCAGGAATGCTGAAAAAGGTGGAGACCATGCACAACCCAACCTGACTCAAAGCACTAGAAGACTCTGGAAGCAAGTGCCTGCATCTATATTGGCAAACAGTGTGGTGCAACAGGTAGGTAGCTGTAAAGTGGAGAACATGTACACTACATGTGTTTTGGGGGCTAGTTCTGATTAGCTTTAGTTTGGTTCTGCAGAGTGAACACCTTAGGCGGCTGAGATGCATCAGTGTGCTCTCAGGCTGCTTCTTCCACCTTTGTTTCACCTGCAGGGATGCAACTGGTAGCACACTGAGATTGCTCCTTGATGAGAACCAAAGTGCAGCGCAGGGACCAGGAAGGAGACACGCTTCTTTCTAATCTGAACAAAAGTGTGGCTGACCTCACGTAAACTGCCTGGTCTACATGAGAACTCCTCACTGCAGTCCAGAGTGCTATACCAGGATACAGAGTAGAATGCAGTACTCTGAAGCCACTTTAAGGGCAGCCACTTACGCTTTGGGCACTTGAGAAATCAAGGAACTTATAATGCTATTTGTCTACAGTCAAAAGATTTTAATACAGTTAATAGACAAAGGAAAAGATACTTAATGAAACAGGAAAAATTTCACAGCAGCTGTTAGCTTTGCATTCTATTTGGGAAGGTTCCTGCAGTAAAACACTATAATTTCTGACATCTTCCCATCTAAACATCTCAGCAGATAACAAACAACCTGAAAGCAGACATCATTCATACGTAGAGCTTATACATTGCTTTGTGCTCAAATTACAAACTGCTTTGCATAGTTTTAAGCACGCAGCTCTCACTGAGTTCAAATGAGTTTCACATGACTGAACCATCATGAGCTGCTTAAAAAATATCCCCCCTGGGTCTTAAGCAAAACCTCCTTGTTTAAGTGTTGATTATTATTTTTTCTCCACTGAGATTAATTAAGATATTTAAGGAGCACAAGGGGAAAGGAAAAATAGGACTTGCTCATCTGATTCATATTTCCGTGCATGCGGGTTATTTTCAGTTGCGGCCGAGATCCACTGGAAAGAGAAGTCAGCATGTACATGCACACCTCTGGTCACAGACTTTAAGGCAACAATGCTGGTTAGCTAACACAGGAGTCAGAGCTGAGAAACCGTAAAGACATTTATAATGAGGGACAGATCGACTCGCATGAATGCTGCTAGAAGCTAATGTTAGGCAGCCAGACACTAGAAAACACTTTGAAAGTGTGAACATGTTTATATTCTAACAGAAGTACTGATATTCTGGGAGCTCAAAACCACCTCTTGTTATTTGCAGATCTACTTCGTCTGCAGGATGAAGTCCACTGAAAAAGAAACCAAAATGAAAAAAAGATATTCTTCCTTTGCTGTAGCATAAATAGAGGCAGATCTGAATACTGTACTCCACTAGCTGTAACAACCACACCAAGTTAGCCAGTTTACAGGACTGTGGTCCAGGACAGCAAATCAGCCCTGGAAAAACATCATTTAAGCTCAACTGCAGGTGAGCAATCAGGATCTAACTAACCTTTTTTTCCTCCCATGGGGCTGATTTGCATGAGACTAATTTAAAACACAGAATAATACAGGCAGTGCATGAGCAGTTTAAAAGTTTATAAAATATCCTAATGCTCTCAGTCCTCAGACAGCTAATTTAGATTTTTGCTGTGGATTAACTCGCAAGCAGTCCAAACTCGTCTTTCCATTAACCCATCTCGATTAGCAAGATCCTGACTGCCACATGAGGAGGGAGCTCAGATGTGCTCATATGGATTTTGAGGCTGAAGTGCCCCGATAACTGTTCTCCTTTGTGACAGAGGGTCCTTTTAAATAGCTTCACTAATCTGACGTACGGGTTAGATGGGGAGGAAAATCTTCAGTCACATCAGCTTAAGAACTAACCTCCAGGATATGCATTAATTGAGGCAGTGCACACTCTGACAGAAGCCAGGGCATGGTCTCAGGCAGACTTTGAAGGCTTAGATCTCCTCCCTCTTCCTTAGACACAAATGATCATGACATAGTAGAGCAATTAAAAAAAAAACCCAAGTACCCAATAGAGGGGAGACAAAACAATAAAATACTATTGAAATGCAATGCCTACTTATAGAGGCATTCAATTAATCAGTTTCTGTGCACATGAGGTAACATTAAATACCATCCCAGCAGGCTATCCAGTAACTTTGTGAGTAATAATTACAGCTCCCAAAAAGGACACAGCAGGAATACTGCTTATCCATCAGTGTGTGACTCTTTGTACATGCCCACAGGATAAATTTTCTTATGTGGAGGAGAAAATACCCGCATAAGGGTATTCAAAGCTTGCTCTGATACTGAGCCAGAGGTCTACAGTAGGTCTGCCTTCATCCACTGCAAAAGACCATGATGAGATAACAGGCTTCAGAATATTTTCATATGGGCCTAATCAGGATACGGTGCTGAATGGATCATTATTTGGACCTGATAATGCCATTTTATCTGATGATACAGCACAATCTATACAAGGGACATTCAGCTGGTGGCTGTTAACAACTTCTGAAGCAGAGGCTGATGCTCAGAAGCACCTCAAGTGGATGACCAAACTGAAAGAGACCACAGCCTCCATAAACAATAAACACAAACTTGTTGGTGTGTTTCACTACACAAAACTGTCTCATGCAAATTCTGGGTGAATTTTTTGAAAGAAGCAGCAACACTAAGTGACAGACCTGAGGCAGACCTACCTCAGTGCTGGGAATGGCAGTGGGCAGGGAACGATGCACCACTGCCACCTGCAAGGCCTCCACCCCAATGGTCAGGAGAGGGCCCCCTTCTGCAGAAGTGACCAGCAAGCACCTTCATGAACATGGCCATGTCTTGAGGAGCTGGGCAGATACTGGAACATAACCACTCTTTTTAGTTTGATTTTGTGTGTGTTACCCAGTGGTTTCATCAAGGAATTTTGCTCCACTCAAACTCCGTTACAAAATATTTCAATAACACAACATTTATGTAAAACTGTAGATTATTTAAAATACAGTGATTCATACAATTTGGACACTATTGCTTGCTTGTTGAGAATTTTCCCAATTTTTTACTTCATTTTTTCAGAGCTTCATTCCATGCTTTCATGGCTTCCACGTTAGTGAGCAGCCCAGGAAGATGAACAGGGTAGTTCCTATTTGGTCAAAGACAGCATTTCATGCTATTTGCAAACTTAAGCAGAAACAAAGCCTATCATCCATACAGACAGTGCAGCAGGCATTGAAGGCCACACATTCCCCCCTTTTCCCAGTGAATGACTGCAGCTTGCACACAAAAAGGAGCTGTGGAGCAATATGATGGAGCACGGTTGTGTTTTGGACCTTGGCACACACACACATTGTCTAGTGTATGTACAAACCAGTTTTCTTACCAGCTTCCTAAAGGCACCATGGAGTAGACTAGATCAGGACCCTCTTAAAAATGAGAGCTAGTTCTCGCCAGTGTTAAGGACAGTGGATCCTAGCTCAGGTCTCCCTCCAAGAGAACTCCAAATCAGCACAAGCACAGCCTCTAGTGCAAGATACTGCTCCTGAGCTGAACTGGCTTTCATTAAATGAGCTGTCTCACAGCCTCTGTTGACTTGGGAATTTAAAGACTGATGGAAGCTGGAAACAGCTGCAACTCCCAGAAGTGAGATCTTGTTATGATGAGAAATAGAGACTTTCTGGTGAGAACAGTGAGCCAGGAAACCTTCCTGCAAAATCCAGCTAGCAAAATCCACACGTGTACACGTCTCTGTTAGAAATCATCTGCCATCTGCATAGGCCAATGATGAGATTACAAGGAGGGTCAGCATGCGGATCAGGGCGGCTGATCAGCCGCCACAAAACAGAGCAGGAGACCAATTACCCCAAAGGCTTTTCCACAGCAAGGTATCCTGTTACACAGAGGCCACATTCTTGAGCTTTTCCCACAATTTTTAAGGCTAGAAAGTATCTCCGAGGCTTAAACTGAGCCCCTGAAGGACAATTTTTGTAGCTAAGGGTAAATGCAGCAGGTGCTGAATTTGCTCACCGAAATGCATGGTAAAGTCATATACAAATAAATTGCCTGTTCAGACATGTATATTCTGGGTTATTACTTGGACAAAATCTCACAATCTTGCCCTTTGTCAGGCACCACCTGGTTCTTTTACACTTCCCACTAAAAATAAAATAAGAAAGAAACGACCTGACAGTGGGAAGCAAAACACAATTAGTTTGCTGCTGGCTTAGAGAGGACAATTGTTCCACAAGGTGCGTCTGTTCAATATATCAGGGCTGAAGAAATCACACGGCATGGGATGGAGACATCTACCCACACCAGGCAGTGCTTTCATTCAAATTTGTGCTTTACTCCCACTGATGCAAACAAGGTGGAATTATATATTTAGAATTTACTGATGTAGAAGACACATTCTGCTGAGGACCAAATTTATTTATGTATATACATATCCAGAAATGCATACTGGGCAATCCCAAAACAGCTCCGTTTTCAATATAAGCAGTAGCTAGCAGCACCTTCTCCTTTCTGAGCTCTGAAGGATTATGGCACATAATATGACAACAATAGCAGAACCTTTTCTGCCGATACAGATGACTTTGCAGCAGGCACCAGCAGTAGCATTTACTTTCACCAGAGATGAAAGCGGCTTAATAAACTGCATCTGCGTCAGTGCAGCACGATGCATGTGTACAGCATTAGAGAACAACAGGCAGCACAGCAATTGATGAGTCAGGCAGCAGAATTATGGTTGTGCTAAAGGAACTGGCCTACATTCTTCAAGTAGAGGTCATATCTCCCCAATCATTTATAAGTTTCAGTTAAATTAGCTGATTGTTACAATGTCACTTCTTGGGGTTATGATCTGTTTACATAATTATCAAGTTGCATTACAGCTTGTACTGTTCTCCTCCTCAATTACATAGCCAACATTCTGCTAGATGTGTCAAAGCAGAAGTAAAGACATACCAGTCAGAAATAGATACAATCAGATAAAGAGGATTGTGTTGAGCCCCAAATTATCAATAGCTTGCGTTTACTGGCAGGAGGAAAAATGTGAATCGTGAAAAATAATTAAAGCTGCACAGGTTTTTACAAGGATAAATTGAAAAAATGGGAGACTTTTAGCTAAGAGAAGACATGCACAGAAGGGGTAGTGAGAGCTTTCTATACACTAGTAATCAGAAAAGGCAAATGCAATATTTGTATTCATGCTGACTGGGAATTCAAGAACATGCAGACCTCCAAAACAGCAAGGTGCATGTAAATGGAGAAGCTATGGAAATAAAGCTAATTTGGCACTGGGTCCAGAACAGACCAGGAGAGGGACAGAGGGGTGGCCGCAACTACAGCCTTGCTGTTTATGTAGAAGGGGAATTCAATAGTACAGGAGCCAAACTTCTCAGCAGAAAAACAAAAAACCAAAATTCATATTAGAAAAAAAGAAAAGAACACACTCTGTTAACCTAAACAGCATTAAATTGAACAATAATCTCTTTTATTTCGGGGCAAAAGTCAATCACTGAATAAAGTTAACAACTGTCCCCCAGGGAATTTCGTGCACTCTCTTCAGCACTGCCTAGTACATTGGGCTTTCTCAGTAAGAAAGTATCAGATTAGAAATACCCAGCTCTGGATATTAGCCGTGCCAATTTGGATGAGCTGCTATGTTCCTATTATATTAGAGCTCTTCCCTCATTAAAGAAAAATGAACTAAGAACAATCAGTTTCCAATCATGTTGTTTTCAAAGTGACATTAAAACTAATGAATAGAGCAATGGGAAAAAAATACCTCCAGGATGGATGTAGTAAGCTTAAGGGCTTGAGGGCAGTACATCAAACGTGGCTCGACTCTTCATTCAATACAATGTGGTTGTTAATGAGGAACAATCAATAAATGTTCTTCAAATAAAACACCAGAGAGCCACACATGAGATAAGCAAACAGGAATTAGCCAAGAGGGGATGCACCTTTCTTTGTTATTACCACAACTGCAAATGCCTTGATTTAGACTCAAGGGACCCGGGTAAATGCTGCTTCCTCAATGTGTTGCACATATTTATCTGAAAACTCTGTCTTAGGAATGCCTAGTTAAAGGGGATCCAAAATAATCCCAACATCAGTGTTTCAGTGAAAACAAGGATCAGGGTGGATTTTCCATGTAAGGAAATGCTCAAAATTCAAATCAATTAGTTGTCTATCTTATAGCTGTAGAGAGCTACAGAAATTTCAAACGTTTCCAAGAAATAATTTCCCTGAAAGATTCCTTTCCTATTCCACATGGAAATTCTGAGGTTACACAGCCCACACCATCAATTCTTTTGTGAACTTCATATATTGAACAACCTATATATTTTATGGGAACAGTGCAAGCTTGCAAATCCCCTGACTCAGAAGTAAGTTGCCCTTCTTTTAAAAAATGTAAGAATTATATATAGATTTTTAGATAGATACAATCCTTTTCTATGCTTCCAGATTCTGGGACATTTAAGTGAAAGCCTACAGATAAATCTCCAGCTAAAAGTTAAATGACTTTACCAGCTGTCCACAGCAGGGACAGCCTGTAGCTCGTTTATTATCTCATCTGGTCTCCCAGCTAAGTGTGTTTTGGTCTGGTGAATTCCAAGATGACAGGCCTCTTAAAAATTGTAGGTTCTGGGTACTGCTGACAGCTGTATTTGTTATTTGTTGGGTGGCACACCTCTGCCTCTGTCAGCACAGAGCATGGTTTTGGATGATGCTGGGGATGCTATTTTTTTCAGATGAAATATAAGACAGGAACATAAGCATTATTTGCAAGGGTGAGACAGGGATTTTAAGTGAATTGCCATCACTGGTAATAACTAGCAATATATCTTTCTTGTAGTTCAGAATTTTTCTTGTTCTATTTCCTAGAACCCAAGTCCCTCCAGATGAAGGTACAGTCATGACAGGTAACTAAATATTTGGAGCATCTGGAGCCACAGCATTGTTCCAAAAACAAGAAAAACCCTGTTTGAAGTGAGCATCAGATATTAGACAGATATCAGATTTTTGAGAGGTTCTGGCAGTCTAACCAGGAAGATCCAGCTGAGAAACCAACTTATTCTTCCCTGTAATGCAAGATGAAACATTTACCATAACGTACAATTTTCAACGTGAACATGCCCCCAAAGAGCATGCAGGATATCGGTCACAGCATGGCAGGAGTGCTCAGCAGGCATGCGTGCCTTCACATGCATAGATACAGAAAGAACCCTGTGGTTCATCCCATTATATGGCCAGCTTAATCCACAATGACAGCTGATATAGGTCAGAGAACCGAGTTACCACTTCAAGCCCACGAGCAGCAGCAATCCTGCAGAAGGCTCTCCAGTACATCTGCTGGAGCTCTGCTGTTTGAGTCTGGAACTGCAGGCTCACCCTTTGGTGCACACTGCAGGTCTGGGAACATCAGACAGTACTTCTGAAAGGGAGCTCAGCCCCAGTCACTGGAAAGGCCTTTCCCCACTCCTATTGTCATCCACCGACTGTTACTTTTAGCGTTACATACATGAGAAGTGATTACAGGAAAGGGTGAGAAGCAAAGAAACACAGTGCCTTGGAATAAATGTTGCCAAAGCTAATCCTGCACACACACCCTGGGCAGACCCACCAGTACGCAGAGCAAGGAATTCTAAAATATCAGGAATCACTTCTTGTTAGAAAAGAAGCAAAAACACGTTTGGGGGCTTTCAGAAAAAATAAACCTGCCAACTCATCACTGACTGCCATTTAACCTGCAGGCAAAAGTGCCAAGACCCTGCAATTACAAGAACCTGAATTATTCTGCAGGTATTGATCTCCCCCTGTGTGGAAGACGAGCAATGTGA